GTTTAGTTAGTATATGTGTGTGTGTGTGTGTGTGTGTGTGTGTGTGTGTATATATATATATATATATATATATAAGAAAAGCACGGGATTAGCCGCCTCGCTCATATGGTTTAGCTGCGCCCAACCGCGTTGATTTAATTTTCCTAATCTGATGGCCACGATGCCATACCACCGAATGAGGTGTGAAAAGAATAAAATTTCGACAAAATCAGCGCTATACGAAAGGGCACCTACAAAGGTACGCTCCCTCTGAAGCGTCTCTCTCCTCTCGCTCTCCTTGTATATTCTCTCCTATAGCTGCTCTGAAACTTCTCTCTCCTCTCACTGCACAAAATGAAGCTCATCTCTTCTCTCGCTGCTCTCTTCTGAAGTTTCTCTCTTCCATATAAGGCATCCACAGATCTTGCACAGAAGGGTTCCTGCTGTCAAGGTATGGGCGCTCTCTCACTCTCTCTCCCTCTCTCTCTTTGGGTGCTTCTATTTCCAGCTCTCCCTTTGGTTGTCACTCTCGAGTTACACCTAAATCCCCAAATGTGGAAAACCTAATCTGAGCAAAAATTGATATAAAAAAGTCTGGGCAAAAAATATCCCAAATACAATACAATTTTACAGCAATCTTTGCTCAGGTTTTGTGTTTGTTTCTTCAATATCCCAAATACAAAGCAAAACCTTAGGGGCTTCTATTTCCATCTCTCCCTCTGGTTTTTACTCCCCCAAATCATCAAATGAGGAAAACCCAATCTGAGCAAAAATTGCTATAAATAAAGTTGGGCATAAAAAGTCCCAAATACAAAGCAATTTTATAACAATTTTTACTTAGATTTTGTGCTCATTTCTTGGATATCCCAAGTACAAAGAAAAACCTCGGGGGATTCTATTTCCATCTCTCCCTCTGGTTTTCACTCCCCCAAATCCCCAAATGAGGAAAATCCAATCTGAGCAAAAATTGCTTTAAATGAATCTAAGCAAAAAATGCCTCAAATACAAAGCAACTTTTGCTCATATTTTGTATACAACTCACAGGAGCTAATATAGTCCCTGAGCTAAGGCAGCTTTTGAAGTTATTTGACTCTTTGCTTGCATTTCTCAAAGAAGCCATTTCTGCTATTTTTGGAGGAACTTCCTAATAACCTTTTGGTCGTACTTTAAAATTTAAGAGAATTCCACAAAAAAATTTGTCATGGACATTCCATTGTCATGTGAGAAGGTTTAAAACTTGTTTGGATCTCTTTTCTTGTCCGATTTGTTGCAGATTCTTGCATTGGATGTTTAATGAAATGGAAATATTTGTTTAATGTTGGGCTAGTAAATTTTTATTATTAGCACCACTTGCAGGAATTGATAGGATTCTCTTTAACGATAAAATTAAAATGGCAAAAAGTTTGGGAAATTGATAGGTTTCTCTTTAACATTGAAATTACAAAAGGAAAACCGAATCGGAGGAAAATATGCTATAAATAAATCTGGGCAAAAAATGTCCCAAATATCGATTGTTCTTAATTAGATCTTTCTCTCTTCCTTGCTTGGAGAATTTTGATTCATCCCCTAATTATATCACCTGGGGCATACATGCCTGCCAAGTTACTAGATTTTGGGGGGCTGCCTGTAAGTAACAATTGATAAGGCAATAACAGATTCAACATTGATGTGTCTAAAGTTTAGCATTGATTTGTCCAACTCTCAAAGTGTGCAGCATGTGCTAGGGCCTGGTGAAATTCCAAGGATATTTGATGGCTGTATATTACGTTTGGAACTTGAAATGAGTGGAGTCAACTAAATTTGTGATACACCCATGCTATTAGATTTTGTCTAAGGTAAATGGTCTTATTGTATACAATCGTTATTTCAGTATATATGTAATAAATTCTTTTCCAAGCTGGGTTGAGAAAAATATGATTGGTATTCTTATGATGAAAGTTTAAATACATGTATTTTTGTAGTTTGCACTTTCACGTTGGGTAAGTCAAAAAGCTGAGATGGATCCCACAAATTCAGTCTGTGTGGCATCTACCACATACCCAAATATAGGCAGCATTGATAAAATCCCTGATGGTAGTTGTGGCTCACTAAACAAAAGTCAAGAAATAGAAGAACCGTGTGTAGAAATGATGTTTGGATCAGAGGATGATGCATATGAGTTCTATATGTTTTATGCATTCACCAAAGGTTTTGGTATTCGCTGGGGGAGTACTCATACCAAGAAAGGTAAAAAAAACGATAGGGTTTATGTTTGCTCCAAGGAAGGGTTTAAACATGAAAAACCTAATAAAAGTAGAAAAGTTTACCCTAAGTTAAGGTGTGGGTGCCAGGTTAGGATGTGCATAAGTAGTCAAGGAAACAACGAGTAGAAAGTGACTAGCGTTGATACATATCATAATCACGAAATAGCAAACGCTAGAAGAAAACTTAGAGGACATTTAAAATGAAATAGCAAACGCTAGAAGAAAACTTAGAGGACATTTAAAATGAAATAGCAAACGCTAGAAGAAAACTTAGAGGAGAAGATGGCAATTTAATTTTACAATGGCTCTATAAAGAGAATCAATCGAGCCCATCTTTTTTGTATAGATTGAGATTAAATGACAAAGATCACATTTGCAGTATCTTATGGGTAGATTCTACATCTAGAGTTTCCAACCAGTGCTTTCCTGATGTGGTTACGTTTGATACCACATACAAGACCAATGTGTTTAGTATACCCTTTACACCTATACTTGGTGTAAATCACCATTTCAGTACAACTTTCTTTGGCTTTGCACTCATATTTAACTAGAAAATAAAATCGTTTATATGGGTATTTGAAAACTGGTTGGAAGCCATGGGTGGACGA